GCTGAAATAAACCCCATGTAAGATTTTACAGCTCTAGCATCACTCCTTCATAGTCAGCCTATGAACATTTCACCCCCATCCTCGTACCTGGAAACAAAAATGCAGATATTAATACGAAGAGCTGAAATAAACCCATGTAAGATTTTACAGCTCTAGCATCACTCCTTCATAGTCAGTGTATGAACTTTTCAGCCCATCCTCGTACCTGGAAACAAAAATGCAGATATTAATACGAAGAGCTGAAATAAACCCATGTAAGATTTTACAGCTCTAGCATCACTCCTTCATAGTCAGCCTATGAACATTTCAGCCCATCCTCGTACCTGGAAAACAAAAATGCAGATATTAATACGAAGAGCTGAAATAAACCCATAAGATTTTACAGCTCTAGCATCACTCCTTCATAGTCAGCCTATGAACATTTCAGCCCATCCTCGTACCTGAAACAAAAAAATATTAAAAAGCAGAAATAATAATTTTTACAGAAGAGCTAGAAATGAAAACCCATCCTCGTACCTGAAACAAAAATGCAGATTTTACGAAGAGCTCATGTAAGATTTTACAGCAGCACTCCTTCATAGTCAGCCTATGAACTTTTCAGCCCATCCTCGTACCTGGAAACAAAAAATGCAGATATTAATACGAAGAGCTGAAATAAACCCATGTAAGATTTTACAGCTCTAGCATTTCACTCCTTCATAGTCAGCCTATGAACATTTCAGCCCATCCTCGTACCTGGAAACTGGAAAAAAATGCAGATATTAATACGAAGAGCTGAAATAAACCCATGTAAGATTTTACAGCTCTAGCATCACTCCTTCATAGTCAGCCTATGAACTTTTCAGCCCATCCCTACCTGGAAACAAAAAACAGATATTAATACGAAGAGCTGAAATAAAAATGTAAGATTTTACAGCTCTAGCATCACTCCTTCATAGTCAGCCTATGAACTTTTCAGCCCATCCTCGTACTGAAAAAAAAAATGCAGATATTAATACGAAGAGCTGAAATAAACCCATGTAAGATTTTTTAAAACTCCTTCATAGTCAGCCTATGAACATTTCACCCCATCCTCGTACCTGGAAACAAAAAAAATGCAGATATTAATACGAAGAGCTGAAATAAACCCATGTAAGATACGAACAGCTCTAGCATCACTCCTTCATAGTCAGCCTATGAACATTTCAGCCCATCCTCGTACCTGGAAACAAAAATGCAGATATTAATACGAAGAGCTGAAATAAACCCATGTAAGATTTTACAGCTCTAGCATCACTCCTTCATAGTCAGCCTATGAACATTTCACCCCATCCTCGTACCTGGAAACAAAAAATGCAGATATTAATACGAAGAGCTGAAATAAACCCATGTAAGATTTTACAGCTCTAGCATCACTCCTTCATAGTCAGTGTATGAACATTTCACCCCATCCTCGTACCTGGAAACAAAAAATGCAGATATTAATACGAAGAGCTGAAATAAACCCATGTAAGATTTTGCAGCCCTAGCATCCCTCCTTCATAGTCAGCCTATGAACTTTTCAGCCCATCCTCGTACCTGGAAACAAAAAATGCAGATAATAATACGAAGAGCTGAAATAAACCCATTTAAATTTTACAGCTCTAGCATCACTCCTTCATAGTCAGCCTATGAACATTTCACCCCATCCTCGTACCTGGAAACAAAAAATGCAGATATTAATACGAAGAGCTGAAATAAACCCAAAATTTTGCAGCTCTAGCATCACTCCTTCATAGTCAATACGAACCTGGAAACAAAAAATGCAGATATTAATACGAAGAGCTGAAATAAACCCATGTAAGATTTTGCAGCTCTAGCATTACTCCTTCATAGTCAGCCTATGAACTTTTCAGCCCATCCTCGTACCTGGAAACAAAAAATGCAGATATTAATACGAAGAGCTGAAATAAACCCATGTAAATTTTTTACAGCTCTAGCATCACTCCTTCATAGTCAGCCTATGAACTTTTCAGCCCATCTTCTTACCTGAAAACAAAAAATGCAGATAATAATACGAAGAGTTGAAATAAATCCATGTAAGATTTTACAGCTCTAGCATCACTCCTTCATAGTCAGCGTATGAACTTTTCAGCCCATCCTCTTACCTGGAAACAAAAAATGCAGATAATAATACGAAGAATTGAAATAAACCCATGTAAGATTTTACAGCTCTAGCATCACTCCTTCATAGTCAGCCTATGAACTTTTCAGCCCATCCTCGTACCTGGAAACAAAAAATGCAGATATTAATACGAAGAGCTGAAATAAACCCATGTAAGATTTTACAGCTCTAGCATCACTCCTTCATAGTCAGCCTATGAACATTTCAGCCCATCCTCGTACCTGGAAACAAAAAATGCAGATATTAATACGAAGAGCTGAAATAAACCCATATAAGATTTTTACAGCTCTAGCATCACTCCTTCATAGTCAGCCTATGAACATTTCACCCCATCCTCGTACCTGGAAACAAAAAATGCAGATATTAATACGAAGAGCTGAAATAAACCCATGTAAGATTTTACAGCTCTATCATCACTCCTTCATAGTCAGCCTATGAACATTTCAGCCCATCCTCGTACCTGGAAACAAAAAATGCAGATATTAATACGAAGAGCTGAAATAAACCCATGTAAGATTTTACAGCTCTAGCATCACTCCTTCATAGTCAGCGTATGAACATTTCACCCCATCCTCGTACCTGGAAACAAAAAATGCAGATATTAATACGAAGAGATGAAATAAACCCATGTAAGATTTTACAGCTCTAGCATCACTCCTTCATAGTCAGTGTATGAACATTTCACCCCATCCTCGTACCTGGAAACACAAAATGCAGATATTAATACGAAGAGCTGAAATAAACCCATGTAAGATTTTGCAGCCCTAGCATCCCTCCTTCATAGTCAGCCTATGAACTTTTCAGCCCATCCTCGTACCTGGAAACAAAAAATGCAGATAATAATACGAAGAGCTGAAATAAACCCATTTAAGATTTTACAGCTCTAGCATCACTCCTTCATAGTCAGCCTATGAACATTTCACCCCATCCTCGTACATGGAAACAAAAATGCAGATATTAATAAGAAGAGCTGAAATAAACCCATGTAAGATTTTGCAGCCCTAGCATTACTCCTTCATAGTCAGCCTATGAACATTTCAGCCCATCCTCGTACCTGGAAACAAAAAATGCAGACATTAATACGAAGAGCTGAAATAAACCCATGTAAGATTTTGCAGCTCTAGCATTACTCCTTCATAGTCAGCGTATGAACTTTTCAGCCCATCCTCGTACCTGGAAATCAAAAATGCAGATAATAATACGAAGAGCTGAAATAAACCCATGTAAGTTTTTACAGCTCTAGCATCACTCCTTCATAGTCAGCCTATGAACTTTTCAGCCCATCTTCTTACCTGAAAACAAAAAATGCAGATAATAATACGAAGAATTGAAATAAACCCATGTAAGATTTCACAGCTCTAGCATCACTCCTTCATAGTCAGCCTATGAACTTTTCACCCCTCCTCGTACCTGGAAACAAAAAATGCAGATATTAATACGAAGAGCTGAAATAAACCCATGTATGATTTTACAGCTCTAGCATCACTCCTTCATAGTCAGCCTATGAACATTTCAGCCCATCCTCGTACATGGAAACAAAAAATGCAGATAATAATACGAATAGTTGAAATAAACCCATGTAAGATTTTACAGCTCTAGCATCACTCCTTCATAGTCAGCCTATGAACATTTCAGCCCATCCTCATACCTGGAAACAAAAAATTCGCTTATTAATTCGAAGAGCTTAAATAAACACATGTAAGATTTTACAGCTCCAGCATCACTCTTTCATACTCAATCTACGAAATTATCATCAGAATTTTGTATATCATAGATTTTGTTGAAGGAGTCATACAATGCTAATAATTTTAATATTTGAAATATCTACCGTATGGGATTCACGTCAATATACAGAAGTGGACTGAATCGAGTGTAGTCTCCATGAGGAACTTTGAACTAAAGGAGAGTTGATTTGTGGTGATTCTAATATCTACTCTGTTCAAGCTGATAATGTAGAATTAGTAGATGGCTTAAAAATGACCAAGCGTAGATTCGGTTCTTGAAAGTTTATAAGTTGTGCTTCAGAATAAATAAGGGAGCGAGCCCAGCTGAAATTAGAATGCACACAAACACACAAGTCAACCATGTAACAGGAATTTATGTAAACAACCAACTTACTGGAAGATCGAATACTGGAAGAGAGACCTGAAACCACATACCTTCGACTTAGCTAGTGTTAATTTAACGCAGACCAGAAGTGACTAAACAATTATTTTACTCACAGACAATTTAGTACCAGATGTTACTAAAATTGTATATACTATCATTCTGTGAATGATTCTTTTAAGCAGTAGTTCTTTATTTGATTATGTTTCTTTGGTAGATATTTTGTTTTAGGTGAAATATAATATCAATCAATCGACAGAATGCGGTAACAGAATTTGGGTCACCTCAATAATGAAAAAAATATCTGATTGCAGACATGAGAGTGTACACTTACCCAAAGCTTTTAGCACATTTGAACAACATTTTCTAGGAAAAAAAAAAACAATTTCTAATTTGCAGGCTCGACAATAACCAGTTAACCGACTAAAAAGTATATCTTAAACATATAATACGCAACGCATTAGATTCTCAGAAAAAAAAAGATGGCAAGAATTACACAGCTCCCAGGATATTAATGTTAGTAATGTTTATTTTTGTACTGTAGTTTCTTTAACTAGATTCGCTGTAATTACCTTACCCTCATTTCAACGTCTTTTTCTTTTAGAACAAATTCAAAATGCTTAATCACCTTATTTGATGTGTTCATAACAACAAAAGTCATGAGCTGAGAATTACTTAATTAACACTTTCATAGTAATTAAGAAAAAAGGTAACCAGATCAACAGACTGAGATCGATAGATCTGAACAGAC